TTTTGTAGTGCATGTTTGTGTGTCAAAAAGACACACAAAAAGGGGGATGTCTCCGCTGCTGGACATGGTGGGAGTAAACTGGTTTGGAAGGCCAGACGGAAATCATCCTTTGTTTTGGATTTGCCAAAATCATGTGGAAGAAAACTTCAGAAACCAGTTATATTTTCAGGTGTTCTGGAAGGTGACTAGTGGTATTCACTCAGTTACATCTCCATCATTTGAGATTTTGATGTTGAATAATATAACCTATTTGGTCTGTCTCAGTCCAGCTGATCATTGCTAGTTTTCTTGATATTAAATGTTTAATATCTTATTGACCATAATTCTAGCCTAGAAAAAGACTTTCCAAAAGTATAGAGCAGCTTTACTTCTCAAATTCAGATAGGGCTGAGCTAACTTCTGATTCTGGAACAGAAAACTGGATACTCTCTAAGTGGGAATTGTAACATCTGACCCAGGTTTGTTAAAATTTGGTATGAGAAGGATTTCACACTCTGATCTGGTAGATTCACTTCAGCACATGACCGAGCCATCTGTAAATTCTGTGGTAAGTCAGTCAACACCAATTTAGCCACATATGCAAATACGAAAAGGTCTCTCTTTTACTCTAAGTCCCATCTTTAGATTTTCAGAAATTTTGCCATGTGTTGGTGCCTCCTCATTAAGAATGCTGTTCATGAAAACAAGTGAGTTTTGTTGACATTGCAATTTTTTTTCTTCCCTGGATGTTCAGTGGGAGACAGAGTGTAATAAATATGAAGGGATGCAAACCGCAAATGTGTGGGGGATTTGTGTTGGCATAATGGAGGCTCAGGCAAACAAACAGATGCATGCGAGAGTCGAGAGTGGCATGTGGTAACACCCCTCTCTTGCTTGAGGGATGACTGACCACATGTGCCTCACTGGAACGCAGATCCCTCCTGTACTGCCACAGAAGCAACAATGACACCAGAGCTGCTGTGAGCCCAGGCACGTGCTCTTCACCCATCTGCTCTGGCAGCCAACACTTCCAGGTCTACTTGATGATGACTGTATTTTGGTATAGGTGTTTGTCCCCTTTTCACCCCAACAAAGTCACAAAGGAGACAGGTGTCATAAGAATGACTCCTCCCATGCAGGTAACTGTGAAGACGTAGGAAAGGGGAAACACCCCTGTTAACCAGCAATAATGGCTGAATTAATACAAAGAACACTTCATGTTATTTAATCCTCCAGCAGCCATGCGTGGTAGGCAAGGCATCAGGGACTGCATCATCCTTGTCCCAAGAGAGGAAACAGTTTCCAGAAGGGGGAATGACTTGTCCAGGATCATACAGCTTGTAAGTTTTTGAATTTCTCAGACTTAGCATTTTGGGTTTTTTGTTGACCTGAGACCCTTTATGGCTGGCCTAGTTACTCCTTTGTTAGTTCATTCAACATTTCTTAAGCATCTAGTTAGTTCCAGGCACTGGAGAGCCATTGAGGGGACAGAGTTCCTGCATTTAAGGGACTCAAACCTTAGAGGAAGACAGGAGCAGGTAAACCAAGGTAATCCCAAATAGAGTCGAAAACTGGTGGTCTCCAGACCAGTTTTATTTAGCTGACATGTTTTTATAAAATCTTGAATTATTTAGAAAATAGAAGGATGTGACAAAAAACCCGAGTTGTCTGGCTTCTTGTGATAAACTGGACAATTTAGCAACATTATTCTCAGATTCCTTTGTGTCGGTGGATGGCGCCATGGTGGCCATTTTTGAGAGGCTCTCCCTTGCCAGTTTGCCAGTCTCTGCCCTCCCCACTGTTCCCTGCCTATTTGGCCTCTGTGGGTGGTTAAATTTGCATTCCCCTGGGTTGCAATAGTGATCAAGGAAACTTGATCTGAGAGGGACTCTGACCACAGCCAGGGTTAGGTGAGAAGGAGAGGGAGCCAAGAAAGATTTCTCGGAGGAGAGACTCTGACCACAGCCAGGGTTAGGTGAGAAGAGGGAGCCAAGAAGGATTTCTCGGAGGAGAGAATGTTTGGGCTGTATTTTTTACAAAACAAAGAAAAAGGAGGCTCGGCACAGTGGCTCATGCCGGTAATCCTAGCACTTTGGGAGGCCAAGGCGGGTGGATCACAAGGTCAGGAGTTCAAGATCAGCCTGGCCAAAATGGTGAAACCCTGTTCCTACTAAAAATACAAAAACAATTAGCCGGGCATGGTGGTGGGTGCCTGTAATCCCAGCTACTCGGGAGGCTTAGCAGAGAATTGCTTAAAATCGGAGGATGCAGTGAGCCAAGATCACGCCACTGAACTCCAGCCTGGGCAATAGAGCAAAACTCCATCTCAAAAGAAAAAAAAGTAAAGTAAAGTAAAAGGAGACGTGCTCCAGGCAGAGGTCGCTGTGTAGGAGATGACCCAGAAGCACTGGATCATGGCACATCCATTGTTTGTTAGGGCAAACTCTGCCAAACTGCCCTTTCTTTATGCAAAGCAAAGTCGACTGTTATGGGTAGAATCAGATTCTTTTCTGAAAGATTCTACATGTACGAAGGCACTGGGTCAGTCCTAGTTGCTCAGTGTCCTCTTATGCTGAGGGACAGAGTGAGAATCAAAAGGTAGGTTTATATAAAACTTTGTCTAGTCTGGAAAACTCTGAGCTTCCAAGTCATTATTTTTGGTGGGTTTGTGTGGTCACCGTCTTTTCTACCAACAGACCATTTACTGGACCACAGGTATTCTGGCATCTTTTTTTTTTTTTTTTTTTTAAACTGGTGAGTGTGCCATTCTTTTCTTTTTGGAACCATATCTATGGCCATATTTCAAGACTTTTTAATCATTAGGAATAATTTTTACAATTCAGCTTTTCAAAGCCTGACAATGTGTCAAGCCATTGGGGAGAGCTCAAGCACATTTTGTGGTGCCAAAATATGGCTTGCCTCAGAGGGTTTGAGTTTTTGATGACACCGTGGTGTTAAGCTATCTTGCTCTGAGATGCTGAAAGGGATGGGGGAAGGGAGTCTTTTGAGGTCCCCAACTGTTCCTGGAGGTGGTCACCTCTTTTCTTTCTCCATGTGCCTGTGCTGGGAGATCTGGGTCACATGGCAGCTAATGCTGCCGATCCCAGGCAACTTTTTGCTCAATAACTGTTTCCCAAATGGCTACTCAGGGGCCTTTCAGAATTCACGAGAGCTGTCAGTTGTTATAGTAACCGGCCCCCTGCTGTCGAGTTGGCCCTGAGATGCCAGTGGAAGCTCTTGGAACAAGCTAACACATAGTCATTAGACAAAAGCAGAAAGAGATTCACTGCTAAAGGTTGCCAGTTAAACATGCTCCATGATACTTAAAAAGCTGGACTGATTCTGTAAGGGAAGCGGTGGGTGGGTAAATTTTTAAACCAAGCTCACTTTTCAGGAAAGGGAAACTCCTTGTATGTTCAGTCTATTCTAGGTAACAATCATCTTTCTTTGGATTTCTCAGAATTAACTGTCTTCTCTCTCCCCCCAGGGTTGATTATGTCTGTTCTGCTGGTTTGCTCAGGTAGCCCCAAATATCTCAATTATTCAAGATATTAGTTATTGATTGTGTGGCATTCGCTTCTCAGCAAAAGTGTTGTCAGTTTACGGGTGGTAGTTTTAAGCGCCTGTGATTGTGTGTGAGGAAAAACTGCGGAGATAGCCGGCTCCGCTCCAAAATTCCTGAAAGAGTGAATCTGGCAGAATTCAGAGTAGGGCTAAGGGTTGAGAAAAAGTCTAAATATTTTAGGAAGCTGCAAATTTCAAGTTTTTATGAGAATTTGTAAAAACATTCCAACACACTCATGATTTCTTCAGATTAATGTTCGTAGCCACACTGAGTATATCCATGATGTTTGTAGGACAGTTGTTGTAGTTCCAGGATGTACTCAATAGAGGGAGACAAGAAGTTCTGTGTTACAGCAGTCCCTCCCCACTTGTAATCATATTTCCAAGTTTGACTTCTCCAAGTTTTGGTTCCTGTGCCAAGCACTTTTACCTAATATGAAGTCTAGTAATTAACACAATAATTGAAAGCTTGTATTAAGGGTGAAGAAAACCTAACACTCAAGAATTAGAGGATGTTCATTCCTAGAAGTAAAAAACCACCAGCGGACTCAATAGTTAAGATGTTAATTCCTTTGGAATTACATACCTGGCTTCAGAATTCTTTGTGGGACTCAATAGAGCTTCCAAAAAAGAAAACTTCCATATATCTGAGTTTGTCATTGCTGTTTTATCGACAGAGTTTGGAAAAAGAATAGGAATCATTTCAGTGTGAAATCTTATAGCCCAGCTGGTTTGGGAGACTAAATATAATTAAATAAATACTTTCAAGTGTTCTTGTGTGACAGAAGTGCATCTTTCAAATTCTGTAGCCAAGTCTCAGATGCTACAGTTATTTAAGTTTTAAGGGGAAACTAAATATAGGACTTAATATATAGTAATAACTTGCCAACTGCTGTTCCCATCTCCCTGAGGTGCCTCTCCTATTTATTCTCCAATCTGTATTGTGAATTAAGAAAATGTTTGTTCTGAGATGAAAGCATGGGGTAAAAGACAAAACCCCAAATGTGTCTAATGGCACCAAATTCAGAGACATTTGTCACAGAAGGGAGGACCAAATGATCTCCAAGTTAACTTTACTCCAATGATATTTTAAGCCATTCTGTTTGCCAGGGCAGTGTGTCAAAGGTGGAAGAGTGGGTATGTGCATGACAAGGGTCATCACTGTGTGATATCCTAACCTTCCATTAACACCAGGGTAATAGAGGCTGCGACTATGTAAAGATGACTTACAAGAGTAAAGTTCTGACTGGGTATTTCTTACCTCAGCATAAAAGCTCCTCATAAAGTCCAGACACCTTTGTGCCTCAGCATCCTCTTTTGAAAATGTCACAGATGAGGCCTGATGACGGGGTCTGTCTGTGTTAGACGGGAGGGGAGGGCATTTGTATGGAACTCTTGGTGGCCAATTGAAAATACTGTATTCTACACCTGTTCTCTTTTGTTTTTTGTCCATTTAGAGGGTGTAACAAAATAAAGTCCAAGGGCTTTCCCAGACGTTTCCGTGAAGTGCCTTCTTCTGGGGAGAGAGGAGAGAAGGGGAGCAGGTGAGGGGCGGTCAAGCTTAAGTGGGGGGTGTCTTGATGGCCGGGACTGGCTTGCCACATTTTTGTTTTGTTGCCATGGGGATTAAAGTCTTGTAGATGGCGCAGTGGTGAAACTCACCTGCTTTACCTGAATTCCCAAAAGTAAGACTTGCAAATGTCAATTCAGCTTGTGGGTAGCTGGTACCAATTAAAGTATGTCCTGTGTGTGCTTGCTTTGCTTTATTTTGCAGTTTTGGGGGTGTTACTTGTTTCTGGGTTTGTATGTACTGGGGGTGCTCTATGTTTGTGTGTCTGTATGTGTGTTGCATCCATTTTCTTTACAAATTTTCAGATATTTGCATGGTTTTGAGCTTTTAAAAAAACATATAATGCATGCATTTAGCCTTATGTGAAAAATACCTCTTAGAAACCTAAATTTGTAGATAAGTTAGGGATGAAGAGTAGGAAGGGGAGACAGAAGTGAGCAAACGTGGATGTACTGTGTGTTTTTCCTTAAGAATGGTGAATTTTTTTTTTTTTTTAAAAGGAAACGCATATGAGTTCTGGATAGTTTGAATACTTGGAAAAATTATTGTCCTGGAAAGATTTATAATAAATGTTTGGAACTCATGATTGTGCAGTTTTAATCACCACACTTGAATCTCTTGATAATATTTCTGTAAGGCCTGTCTTAGGCAAACTCTATTTAATATTAAGATCTTTTAATATTAAATTGCTAATTAGACTAATTCACTAATCCATATTATGTCAGAAGCAGTCCCTTTTTACTTTCAATGAACCAATTTATAGGATTTATGTTAGAATTTTTACATGGAATGATTCATCTCCATTGGTTGTGGGTAAATCAGATTACTGAGATGAAATTTTAGATATCCAACTATTTTAATCAGATAAACCTATGAAATCTGAGACGGTATAGTTTAGGAGTTGTGACAGATTAATGAGAAAGTATATGATCTATTTTCTTTTACACTGTACTGTGTAATTTCGGCCTTATAGGGAAAGCAATAACTGCTAACACTGGTAACTAAATTATTCTGTGATCTCTTTTTGCTTATTAATGTCTTTAATACATTTTCAAAGTTAAGGATAGAAACTGAAATAGAAACTTCTCTATAGTTTTGGAGTCAAAGATTAATCTTAAGAGAGGAAGACGCTGGACATTATTTAAATGCCTGTCATACCCAGTCCATTATAAATATAATATGTTTTTGACTATAACACTTTAAAGAGCCAGCATCACCTTATGAACATCATAAGGATAAATGCACATCCAGTTTCAAGTCCTCCCCAGAAGTGATGCTGTAGCCTGCCAGACTATTTCTTTTATGTACCTGCACCCCCACATGTCAGTGGGCCCATTATAGATATATTTTAGATCCTAACAGAGATGCCGCAGTCTCTCTGGTATCTTCTCTGCTGCTCAGTGAGGGAAGCACAATCAGTGTCATCCAGGTCTAGGAGTTGGGAACCATCTTGTGAAACTACAGGTATTTATAGAATCCGTCTGATTGTGAATCATATTCACTTTTTAAAATAGTGTAGCAGCTTAAAAGACAAACTTTGGCTCAGGGAGGTATGTGTTCTAACTGCAACTCTGCCACTTCCTGGCCCTGTGACTAGGAAGGGCCCATAGAGCCTCCGTTTACTTATCTAGAAAATAAGTCTAATGATAGCAACTTTTCATGAGGTTGTTGTGAAGATTAAATGGGGGTAGTATATGTAAAATGCTTAGTGTGTGAAATGTATTAACCCATCGAGAAATTGAGTAAATTGAGGCTCTGAGAAGTTGTCACTTGGCTAGGTCACCCTGCTTAGTGGCTGCCTTGGGACTCCACTGCCGCAGTGTGGTACTCCTGAGGAGTACGCCTTCTCACAGCTACGTGTGCTATGCTAAGTACTCCATAAAAACGATATGGGCCAGATATAGATCCTGTCCTCAGGGGGTGCCATGTCTGTGCTCTTCCTTATGCTAGCAGCCCTGCCATACTGTACAATTCCTCATTCTGGCCCACTGTCCCCTCTCCTTCCCGATGCTCTCTCCGCAGGCACTTCTGCCACCTCCTTTCCTGACCTGTGTCCATCCTGCTGCTGCTCTATAAAAGGGCTTTGAAAGACAGGGTGCCCCCTTCCTCTGCCAGGCTTCTGCAGGAGGCTAGAATCAGGCTCTCTCTCACCTTTGCCTTTTTCAGTCCACTCTCATTTTCTCTGCTGGCTTGTATCTCCACCCAAAATGTGGCCAGGAATCAGGAGAAGAGCCCCCAGTGATGCCTAAATTGCAACCCTCCAAACAGCTACAAGAGCTGTTACAGAGTCCCTACACATTAATTTCGTGTGGCATTACTCTTCTGCCCCTGTCATCTCCCAGTCCCACAGCAGGAAGGAAGGGGGACTGTGCCACTAAGACACGTTGCACAGAGAATTGCTAAAAGCAGGACAATGGCTGTGAGAGGTGATTATCCTCCCAGAAAGGAGAGGAAAAAAACATTGAAAATCAGACCCAAGTATATTTAATTTCTTGATAAAGCTGATTTAAGTTTTGAGTAGGTAATACTTGACATGATTCAAAATCAAAAAGTTTAAAATTATATGTATCCCTAAATTACCATCCCATCACTCACCCACTCTGTTCCCTACCTCCTCACAAATAGGTAGCCCCTATTGCTAGTTTGTTGTCTATTCTTCCAGGGATTGTTACACATATATAAGCAAATAATGAATATCCTTTTATCCCCTTGTACACAATGGAATACAACATATGCGATCATGTGTCTTGCTATTCTCACTTAACACAGGTTTTCCCTATGCCTATATAATTTCTTCATTCTTTTACACAGAAGCATGGTATTCCTTTGTATAGATGTGTCATGATTTAGTTAACCAGTCCCCTGTGGCTGTCATTTTGATTGTTCTCCATCTTTTGTTATTGCAAACAATTGTGTGATTAGTAAGTTTATGTGTCACTTTGCAAGTGGATAAGCATGTCTGTAGGAAAATTTTCAGAGGAACATTTATTGGCTATATCACAGGGTACACACTATTGTGCATGTATGGTGCCAAATTGCCCTCCATAATGGGGTACCAAGGTGGGTTTCTCTCGACAGTCTATGAGCATGCCTGTTTCCCTACGGCCAACCCAGCACACTGCATTGTCAAACGTTGGCTTTTTTACTAACCTCATAGGTGAAAAAGAAACGGTGTCTCAGTGTAGTTTTAATGTGTTATCTCTTACTATAAGTGGGATTGAACCATTTGTGTTTCTGTAAACTGTTTTTATCTTTTGCTTATTTTTTCTTTCAGTTATTGATCTTTTTCTAATGAAGAGAGATATCCCTTGGTAGCAATACGGGTTGCAAATATTTTTTCCCAATTCGTAGTTTACTTCTTAATTGTATTTATGGTTCTTCTTTGATGTTTATATAATCAGATTTATCTATATTTTCTGTTGTTTTCTAGATTTCGAGTTTTCTTTTAAAAGTCTCTCCATTCTGAGGTTACTCTTTTTAAAATTACTTTTATGGTTTCAAATTTTAATAGTAAATTCATTTGGAATTTAACCTGGTTGATCGTGTGATGTCTGAATCTACTTCTTTTTTTCCCCATATGGTCTCAAGTATTTAAAAAATATACTGCAATCTGGGGCTTAGTGAAGAGTCATATAATACCTTCTTAGATCCTTAAAATATCACTCACAGCAAAATACAGTCAATCAGTATATTAACAAAATAAGGAGTTGCCAAAAGGCTTTTACCCAGACATTTTAGATTGTAAATACTGAAAAATATGTGCAGCAAATAAAATGTGAATTTCATTTCTTACCTCCTCCCCAAAATGAGTTGGACTATCATATCACCATTGACCTTCCCAAATCAGTGGGATATTATGTCAGTGCCTTAAAAGTGTGGCAAATGAGGTGGAGAGCCCCTCAAACCTCAGTCCAGATGTTCAGAATATTCCAGTCTAGGGTCTGAAGGGTGAGACAGCCACCTTAAAGCCCCTGACTTCAAGCCTTCTTTTCTAGGTAATAGCTGGAAGCCTTGGGAAGTACTGTCCAGGGCTCACTTTCTCAAAGCCAGCTATAATATAGGAACTGTCACGGCCTCATCACAATGTGGTTTCTGAAGAGACGTTTTCTCTCTTACCTTCTGGAAAGTATTACCAGTACTTCAGTCAGACCTAGGCATCTGCAAGGATTTCTTGGCAAACTTAATGCCTAGCTAAGAGAATATAGTTTTGAGACCACTTTTGTGCCTATAATTTATCATTTTCTCCCACCTTCCTAAAGATATTAATTGCAGGCAATTTGAATCATCCAATAAAATTCTCACCATGGGAATCAGATTTTTGTCACTTCTAACTGTACCAAAAGTTGACTAGGCCATCTCTCCTATTCATGTGAAATCCAAAATATTTTTGAAACATTCTCTCCTCATTTTAGTGTCTGTTTGCTCTTTCACACCCCATCCATCATTGCATGATTTTGTTCTCTTTTCTCTTCCCTTTTCCCTTTCTCTCTCCTCATATCTTTAAGCCCTGCTTATCTAAGGTATGACAGCCATATGCCCTGGGACTTCCACAGCCCTCATGTGAAACTTGCCATTTGATTATCCCCCAAAGCACATTGACATTTGTCAAATCTCACGCCCCCTTTTATGATTTGGAAAATATGGCCACCAGAAACATATTTTGGTTTGAGTTTTTCTTTTGAGAAGATCCCTTCCGGAAGAGATACTACAAGTGTAAACTGAGTTTTATAAACTGAATCACTTAACATGCCATAAAGGAAACTTAACAGCAAGTGAGTTGTTGTATATGAAAAATCTCAACTTAGAACTTACATTGGGCTCCTTTCCAAGTGGAATCCCGGAGTTATTTCAGACACTTCTCTTTGAGGAAAAGCCCAACAACGCCTACAGCCTTTTTCTTTTATTGTTGTATTTGTCACTTCAATTTATTGAAACATTTTGCCCTAATAAATCAATCCATGCCTTTTTAATACA